GGCTCTTCCTTGCAGGTTCCAAAGTCGGCAGCATCCAGGAGGTGAACGTGAGCCCCTGCCCAACGCAGCCCTGCCTGCTTCACAAGGGGACGACCTACAGCATCAACGTCACCTTCGCCAGCAGTGAGCCCCGCGGGAGGTGGCGCGGACGCGGTCGCCTCCGCGTCCTGCTGCTTGGGCAGGGGTGGGGAAGGGGGGGGGGCTAGCAAAAAAAAGGCTGGGGAGGAAGGGCGGCCTTCAGTTGTGTTCTTGTGGCCTCCAGGGTGGGTGGAGGGCAGGGTGTAAGGTAGAAGCACGTCCCTGCTCTGTTCCCTGCTCACATCTCCGTGTTGTGCAGAGACAGAGAGCCAGGGCAGCCAAGCAAAGGTGTACGGCGAGATGCTGCGTGTGGACGTACCCTTTCCCATTCCTGAGCCTGATGGATGCAAGTCTGGGATCCAGTGCCCCATTCAGAATGGCCGTTCCTACAGCTACCTGAACAAACTCCCCGTGAAGAGCGAGTACCCCAGTGTAAGTAAGCAGGCAGCTGGTCTGCACCTCAGAGCTACTGGCCTTCCTGGGATCATCCCACCACCTGCCTTTAAGGGGGGACACCTTGTTCTGTGGTGGTGGGGAAGACTCTTAGAAGACGGCTCAGGCTATCTGTAGTGGTGGGGAAGAGGTCAGAAGACTGCTCGGACTATCTGGTCACATTTCTGCTGTGAGCATGATGGTCTCAAGTTCCCATTTTGGGACAGACCTAACAGAGGAAGCAGTCTGGTTCCAGCTGCTGAAAAGTGGCTTCAGCTACTCAAGTATCATCTTGTACTGTGCCTCTGTGCAGATGCTGCACTTTGCCAAATGCTCCCAGACAGGGGCTGCTCAGCTCTGGGCTGCAGGTGTTTCCACTCTGCGAACTCAGAGTGGGGGTCTGAGTGCACTGTGTGGAGGTCTCCTGTGTCAAGCAACTGAACCCTCCACCCATGTAAGATACTCCAGGAGTTACTGCATGAGTGTGAGTGTCGCCTCTGCTCTGTCCTCTTTGAGCAGAGCTCCCAGGACCTCCTTGCTACACACAAGTGATAACTCCCTTCCCTGTGCCCTTGCTTTACAGTTTTCTGAATGCTCTCATTTTGCTGTGCTTTTCTCTCTCTTTCAGATTAAACTGATTGTGAAGTGGGAACTGGTGGATGACCAGGACCAGATGTTATTCTGCTGGAAGATACCAGTGCAGATCACCAGCTGAGGAGCTGTGCCATTAGTGGCTTGGGGAGGGGAAAACCATAAGACAACACAGGCCAAATTCTTTTATATAATAAGCATTTCTTACTGCTTCCTTCAGAGCTCTGCAGCCTCTGACCAGCCAGTACCGTGTTCCTGCAAGGTCAGCTGTGGGCAGAGGTCTCTTTACCTCATTTAGAGCCTCCTTGGGGTGTTTTCACAGCAGCTCAAGGGGCAGCAGCATCTGCTGCTGGAGTGACTGGGCATCATCCTCAGCTGCTCTGTGTAGTTGTTTGAACTGGAGTTGTCTGTCCTCAGAAAGGAATTCCTCTGCTATGCACCTGGCTGTTGTCTGAGCTCCTACCTACCTGGTAATCCTCAGTGCCTCTTCCTGGAGAGCTGGCTGCGTCCGCCCTGCTGCACTCCTGCTCTGTCATGGCCGGGGTGCCCCTGGCGTCTGCATTCGCCATCCATGCAGGATGAGGAGAGGGAAGGGGACATTCCCTGAATTGGCAGCCTGCTCTGTCCTGGGCCCCTGCTCAGGCCAGCAGGCCTGCAGCTGGGAAAACTTCCTTTTTATGGATGCAAAGTCAAATGGCATTTGACATCTCTGCAGGGATGATTCTTTCTCTAACCAATGGTTTGCACTACTACTAACTCAGAGCTGCTGGGAGCTCCTGAATCTCTTTTTATAACTTTCCTTTTAATAAAGACTAGACAAAATATCCTTGTGTTTGTCCTCTGTGAGTAAAGAGGAGCAGGAGGAAAAGCAGAGTGGCTGGGCATCTTCTGGTTGGGGTTGGGCTGGTCTTGACTTCTGAGCTGAAGGCATGGGTGGAGGTGGTATGCTGGCCTGAGTGTGGGTGACCTATAAGCAGCCAAGTATCCCTGCTGCTGGCTGCCAGGGTGTCCAGCTGGCAATATCTGGCTGTGCTCCTGCCTTGCTGATCCTGTGCTGGCCTGAAGTTTTGCAAAGGCTCCCTGAAGAGGTGGTGGTGGTGGTGTAGAACATGGCCTTGCTTGCTGCAGCATAAGTAAAGGCCTTTCTGGTGAGGTCATGGGCTAGAAAAGCAGCTCCTGGACCTGTCCAAGGACTCTTGCCAACCACTGAAATTTACATGCTCTCATGCTTAAACTGCATCCCCCTGGTGTGTGAGCACGGGGGGGGGTGACCAGCCACAACTACTGCACTGTCTGTGGAGGCCAGATTTGGCTCCTGCAGCTGGTACTGGGCTGGGGACATAAGCGAGTATTTGGCCTGGCGAGGATCTCTGCTCAGGATGAGGCCGAGTGTCAATGTGAGAGGGGCAAGAATTGGTTTATGAGAGGGGGATGCCCTTGCCAAGCTGGACCTGCAGGGAGGACATGGCTCTGGCTCCCCTTGGTGGAGGCAAGAGAAGCACAACTCTAACCAGCCCCAGTGTCTTGAGCCAGAGCCCCAAAATAAATGTTTTATTTAACAACATGAGAGAAGTTTCCAGCAGACTCAGTTAAAAAAAAAAAAAAAAAAGTCATCAACAACTTTACAAAAAGGA